TCCAGAACGAGCGTTTTGTGCGAGACTTCCTTCAAAAGTGAGCCGCGGAAGTCTCCAGAACGAGCGTTTTGTACCACGCATTATCATATGACACGCACGATCCTCGCAGAGGGTCGCTCCAGGTCAAACGCGTCAAACGCGATCGACGTTTCACTACACGTTTGAACACTTGGCACGCGCGATCCTCGTAGAGGGTCATGTTACGTGAGCTCCTGCCGGAGCTCTTCAAACAAAACGTGTTCCAGTACACCTAGGTGTCTCTACTAAACGGCCCTGTCCTGTCGGCATGACGGACTGGCAACCACTCTGGAGTGAAATTTGTCTGCGGGGCAGTTCCGGCTGCACACAATCTCCAAAAGCACAAATTCAACAGCATCTCTTGCTCAACATTTTGTGTTTTGTGCACATGGTCCTGGTAATAACGTGCTTTGGGGCAGACTGGGAGCTTCACTTCTTTAGGGTCTCTTTTGGTTTTGCTCCGGGCTTCGCTCTTTTACGGTTTCTCTTGGTTTGCCTTAGGGGCTTTGCTTCTTTAGGATGCTTTTGGGTTGGACTTAGGGCTTCAATGGAGAGGGGCTTAGGCCTTCACTTCTTTAGTTCTTTTGGGTTTTGCTTCAGGTTTCACTCCTTTAGGGTTTCATGTGGTTGGGCTTAGGACTTTGCGTCTTTAGGATGTCTTAGGGTCGGATAAGCCTGCACTTCTTTAGGGTCTCTTTTGGTTTTGCTTCGGGCTTCGGCTTTATGGTTTCTTTGGTCTTAGCTTCGGGCTTCACTTCTTCAGGATGTCTTTGGGTTTGACTCAGGGCTTCACTTCTCGAGGATCTGTTTTTGTTTTGCTTAGGGTTTCGCTCCTTTAGGTTTTCTTTTGCTTCTTTAGGATGTTTTTGTGCTGGAATTAGGCCTTCACGTGAGAGCTCCTTTAGGATGTCTTGGGTTTCACTTAGGGCTTCACTTCTTTAGGGTCTCTGGTTGCTTGGGCTTAGGGCTTTGCTGCTTTAGGATGTCTTTCGTTTTCACTTAGGGCTTCGCTTCTTTAGGGTTTCTGGCTGGTTTGCCAT